CCCTTTGTACGAACAAAAGTAAGAGAAATTTAGGATAAGAATACGAACATGTTCTTGCATGAGGCCCAATGAAATATAAAACCAGTGTTTTATAAAGGTAGAAGACTGAAAACCAGAATTTAACCTGAACTTTATTTGAGATCAGAGCTGAAACTTCCATCCTCCTTATTTTGTTTTCTATTTACACATTGAGCACCATTAGTTACTCTTGACTGCATCATGTGATACTTTTATTTTGAAATGTAATAATAAAGCAGACGTTACCTCCATAAACCTGAGTAACCAACTGTACGTCGATGAGAAGTTATAAAATATTTGTTTTCATCCACCATKTGTGGCGCCCCCTCGATGGATGGTGCCCTTAGCGTTTGCCTACACTGCCTATGCCACGGGCCGGATGTAGTTAGAGGTCGTGGAGGACAGAGTGAGGTGGATGACTTGCTTTTTAATTTTTTATTAATTTTTTTTTTTACTTCCTATTGTTTTGCAGAACTTTTATTTGTTCAGAAAATCCAGAATTATTTTTTTTAAATGATCAGAGTTGAGCTGAACTCGTCTGCTCRGTCAGTTTAACGACACCGACCCGTGTCCACTTCCTGTTTGTGAGCCCTCTGACAGATTCCCACACACCGGCATGTGTAAGGTTTCAAAATGTTTGACAAAGTCTGGTGTTTTGGTTTAAAAACAGCTTTTTTTTTAGTCTTTGATCTGCATCATCTGACATCTGTGAGTGACAGCAGGTCTGAGAGAAAAATGGTTCTTCTTTTAGGATTGTTTCGTTTATTTTTCAACCATTTTTCAAAGCTGTCTCGACTGAAAATAACTTACTTTTTGTTCAAACATTTCAACTTACGCTAATACGAGAATCTGTAACCTGGAAAGTCTCTCCAAGATTGCTTTGAAAATCAATTTTTTAAATTGAATTTAATTGTTATAATTACTGGCTTCCTGTAAAAAGATGAAAAAGTTAGAAAAGTGCCATTCATTGCCAGAGCTGCTTCCTTTTGCTTTTTAAGAGAGAAATTATCCAGATTTATTATTTTTTTTATCCAAACTTATTATTTTTGCCTTTGATCGAGCACATCACTGCTTAAATAAAGAAAAAAACACAAAAACAAATAAATAAATGCAACACTAAATATATTAAAGTCTTGTCTTTTCAGAAGTTTAATTTCCATGTTGTTATTTCAGTTCTAATTTGCTCAAATTGTAGTGAAATCTGGGTGATGTGAGTTGGGTGGGCGGTGTTAGGGGTGCTGAGGAGGTGGTGGTCTGGGGGGGCTGCAGTTGTCCWCAGAGCCAGAGCTGCCAGCCGGCCRGCAGCTCCAACAGAGCAGCCTTTGTTAGCCGGGGGATGCTCCAGTCCTTGTGACCAGGCCTGCCACGCCCTTTATGAAGAGGGGGGCCGGGGCCCACTGGGGTGCCTCGAGGTGGGGGGTGTTAGGGGCAGACTCCCCCTCCCCTCTYCCTCTCTGCCGCACAGACAGCTTGGATGATTGATCACACGATTCGTTCCCATTGGTCTGTTTTCCTGTCAATTACACTGGGTGAAAAGGGCAGGTGGGCGTGTCTGGAGGCGGGGCTACGGCTTATTGTGCTCTAATTTTGTCATTGAAGCAGAGCTGAAGTGACCCAACAACAGGAGGGCCTGTAGTTTATCTGTGATTTCAATAAAGTCTATAAATTCTTCAAAATCGAGTTGATTTTGTTGAACTAAACCCAAGAAATTCTCTTTCAGCTTTTCATTTCCTCACTTAGATGCTTGATTGTGTGAAATCTGTTTCAGTGATCTCAGTATTTTCTTTTTCAGATTTTGCTTTGTTTTAGCCACTCGTATAAAAAACTTCTGCTCCTTTAAGTCATGGCTGCTTTTGACCCTCATGGGACAATGATGAAAATACTTTTCATAGACGTATTAAATACGTAACTTCATTTCACTTTCACTTTATTTGTCTTTTGCTAGTTTTTAAATTTTAGCTGCTATTCTGCTACTTTCACATTTTACTAATTTTGTTGGTGCTTTTAGTTTTCAGACAGTATTTTGACACTTTACAATTTAGTTAGCTAAGTGCTACCTGTAGATTTAAGTTAGCTTTTGTTAGTCTTAATGTTTAGCTGCTGTGGTATTAATTTTTAACAAAATTTTCACTACTTAAACTGCTGTTAGCTAGTTGCTACATTTAGCTTTAAGTTAGCCTTTGTTACTCTTAGCTTTTTAGCTACTGTG